TTCCATCAGATCCGAGAGTAGTTTCAATATTCTAGAATTTGTATATCACTCGTCACTGTCAGAAAGAAGAATCATCCACCTCATTCAATATTGGGTGAATCATTCTCCTTATTTACTTTAGTGCCATTTATTATTATTTATTGCTTGATATTCTTCCATCATTACTCCTCTTAAAATATTAAATGCACACTGCATTTAATCCCCCCACCAACACTATCATGTGTTATTTGTGTTAGCTAGTTATAAATTCGAGAATATTATTATCAACTAGGCTTAATCCCTCAATATATAAAATTAATTAGTTTAACCGAAAATTTATACTCTTTTGGTCAAACATTATTAACCTATAGACAGAATTTAGCTTGTAAGAGAGTTTAGGTCTAAAATTTTGATGATTTTAAGACTTTATTTCCTATTTCAAATTAATATTTACTTCATATTATTTTTAGACAGTGTCAATATGTTATTTTAAAAAAATATTATATATATATATATATATGCATATATATACACATATATATATAAATATATATATACATATATAATACTATTATATATACTAAGTGTATTATATATACTAATTAAATGTATAGTATAGTCTAGTATATATACTAAGTGCATAGTATAGTGTGTGTGTGTGTGTGTGTGTGTATATATATATATAGTATAAATTTAGGATTTTAATTCAATTTAAGCTATATATATATATATATTACAAGAAAATACACGTGATTTCACACCATAATAAAAAATAGCCCATGTTTTTAAGTTTTACCCGACCTAGCCCATATTAAACATATTTTGAAAGCACTAGCACATTTAAAATATGTGTTCTTACAATCATTGCTTCTAAAAGCTATGAAGTTAAATCTGTGTTCTCACAATCATTGCTTCTAAAAGCTATGGAGTTAAATTTATATAGGTTCTTACAATCTATGCTTCTAAAAGCGATTTCAAATGATATCCAGAGCATCTCGGAAAAGGGGTCTTTATTTTTATTCTTATATTAGTGCTAATGAAGATTTTGCCAAATTATAGCCTGTTTGTCCAAGCTTCTTTTTAACAAAATTTATTTTTTTAACCAAAAGAGTTTTTTTCCCAAAGTTAAAGTGTTTGGCCAAGCTTTTAGAAGGAACAAAAGTGCTTTTGAATAGAAGCAAAAGTAAATTTTAAGAAATAGAAAAAATAGCTTCTTCCAAAAGTATTTTTGAGAAATATACACTTAGAAATATTTTTTAAAAGTTTGGCCAAATACTAATTGATGTCCTAAAGTACTTTTTAAATTAATTAACTAATCGCAAACTGTTTCTCGCCAAAAATATATTTTTTAAAAATATTTTTTAAAATAAATTAATTTTAAAAGTTTGGTCAAAATAAGCTATTAGGCTATTTGAATATTGAGTACTAGAGATTAGATATGGTCAAAGCCATATTAGAAACCATTGTCACTTCAAAACAGTGCAAGCATGACTTTTGACTGACTAAAATATTGTTTGTCATCAGTTCTTAAACATTACTTTAATAGGTCAAGCCAATTCAAACTACAATATTTCCCCAATCATATCAAGTTTTGCCTATTCAAATTTCAAGTGTCTCTTTTTTTTTTTTGGGTACGTTTCTTCCTTTTTCTTTTGGAACAGAAGATATTTATCCTTCCCCCACCTTGAATTCTAACTCCAATTAATTTGTAAATAGGACCATCTTTGCCTTTTGTTTATAAAATTAATATTAAGTATTTTCTTTTTGTGGGGTTTATACACTTTGATGTAACTTGGACCCACTATTTGGATAAGATTATGATAGTGCTACTGTGCTGGTTAGATTTTGACATATTCTCTTTTTTTGTAGAGACTCATTCCGTTTCTATTTAATCTATTTTCCTACTTTATTAGTCCTGTTAGGTTTGCCTTTGTTAATCTCATGATTATGACCATCCTTTTTTCTTTTTTCTTTTTTCTTTTTTCTTTTTTCTTATCATCACTGGGATTGAAAAATTAACCACATTTTTGTTTTATTTTTTTATATTTTATTTCTTATTGAACTTATTTTTCGCTTAAATACAATTATCTCTCACTGATAGGTATTGTATTCAACGGTAGCTTAATCATTTGTATGTATTAATTATGTTTACTACAAATTTCTCATTATTTGTACTTCTAGTATCCAGCAATATAGGACATGGATTATAACTGTTTAATTAGAAGTGAGATTTCTGTTCCTATGAAGTATTTGAAATCGCCTACTCTATGCCTTCATAAGATTTCTTTACTCCTGATTACGTTTTTCTAATTACAGAGAAGGGGAGAACAAGCTTTTAATCTTCATTTAAATCTAAGGCAAAAGTATTCCAGAAAATAGCATAAAATCAGGTCAATGAAGAAGCTAATTAGTTACCGCCCACCAGACAAGTTGTTGCCAGATTTGGACTTGTTATCTAATAATCCGATATAAAATGTGATATTATCTTAGCATGTGTTTCGCTGAAGATTTTTATTCGAATATGTATGTAATACCATGATTTTTTATACCAACAACAACAACCCAGTGAAATTACACAAGTGGAGTTTGGGAAGGGTAAAGTGTATGTAGACCTTACCCCTACCTCCAAGGGGGGTAGAAGTTGTTTCCGATAGACACTCGGCTCAAGCAGACGAAAAAGACAATATATCAGTACCAATAACGGAAAGCATAGAAATAATACCAAAAAATTGATATTATTTTTATATCACATTCAGACATGAGATGAAATTAAATGGAGTAACACTAGTTAATGATGATTTATTAGCCGACCATAACTTATTTGGTACTGAAAAAGTAGTTGTTTTATATCATATTCAGCGTGGGATAACAATCTCGGGGTTAGCTAATCTAGGGATAAACCAACCAAATGACAAATATGTCTTTCTCCAAACCTCTTTCTCTCAAAGTCCTTTAAGAAGGCCAATAAAAGTTTATCCAAACTTATCCCGTAAAAAACCATACGTATATGTTGTATTATACCATGTGTATCTCATTTTTAATCCAAATAGATCAGACATATATTAGAAAAAATATATAACCAGTAAAGAATTCAATTATTGTTTAATCTCCAATTATAATCCCCTAAGCCAATGGTCTATTGAAAACAACTTCTCTACCTTTTCAGGGTAGGGGTAATATCTATGTAGACACTACCCTCCTCATACCCCAATTGTGGAATTCCACAGGGTGTTGTTATTGTTGTTGCTCCAATTATAATCCCCACATATAATCCCAATACAACTTTTTCGACCCCCAAGAGAAATGCGTATAAAATGAAGGCACGTCAATAATTGGAATGGATTTATGTTTCTCAATCATTCATATCCACAATATCCACAATATGAGAAAGCAACCTTTGTTTTCAACAACAACAAATCCAGTATGTTCCAACATGTGGGGTCTGGGGAGAGTAGTCTGTACGCAGACCTTACTCCTACCTAATGCAGGTAGAGAGACTGTTTCCAATATACCTTCGGCTTGGAAAGGGTGAGAAGAAGAAGAAGAAAAAGAAGAAAAGCAAAAAAGGAAGAGAAGAAAAAGAGGGAGATAATGGATAAGTAGTACCAAATAATAGCAACAGAAAATACAATGCCCGAGGCGAACAAAATCACATAACGCAATAAAAATTTAAGAATATGAAGGGACGGACATTCGTGCTACTAAGACTATCGGTGAACAACTAAATAATTACCCACTAACCTTCTACCCTAATCCTCGACCTCCACACCCTCCTATCAAGGGTCATGTCCTCAGTAAGCTGAAGCAACGCCATGTCCTGTCTAATCACCTCTCCCCAATACTTCTTAGGCCTATCTCGACCTCTTCTCAAACTCGTCATGGCCAACCTCTCACACCTCCTAACAGGAGCATCAATGCGTCTTCTCTTAATATGTCTGAACCATCTCAGTCTCGACTCCCGCATCTTGTCCTCCACGGAGGCTACTCCCACTCTGTCCCGGATAACTTCATTCTTAATCTTATCTCTCCTGATACACCCACACATCCATCTCAACATCCTCATCTCTGCTACTTTCATCTTCTGCACGTGAGAGTTCTTGACTGGCCAACACTCAACCCCATACAGCATAGTCGGTCGAACCACCACTCTATAAAACTTTTCCTTAAGTCTTGGCGGCACATTCTTATCACATAAAACACCGAAAGCGAGCCTCCATTTCATCCATCCCGCTCCGATGCGATGTGCGACATCTTCGCCAATCTCTTCGTTACCTTGGATAATAGACCCAAGATACTTAAAACTAGCTCTCTTGGGGATAATTTGAGCACCAAGCTTTACCTCTACGTCTGCTTCATGGGTCCAATCACTAAATTTGCACTCCAAGTATTTTGTTTTGGTTCTGCTTAACTTGAAATCTTTAGACTCCAAGGTCCGTCTCCAAACCTCCAACCTCGCGTTAATTCTGTTTCGCGTCTCGTCAATCAACACTATATAATCGGCAGATAGCATGCACCAAAGCACCTCCCCTTGGATGTGTCCCATCGCCAAGGCAAATAAAAACGGGCTAAGAGCCGATCCCTGGTGCAACCCCATCACGACAGGGAAATGCTCTGAATCACCACCCACAGTCATCACCCGAGTCTTAGCACCATCATACATATCCTTAATCACTCTAATGTACGCTATCGGAACACCGCTAGCCTCCAAACACCTCCACAGAACCTCCCTCGGGACTTTATCGTACGCTTTCTCAAGGCCAATAAACAACATATGCAAGTCCTTCTTCCTCTCCCTCTCCCTGTACTGCTCCACTAATCTCCGGTAAGTGAAAAGTTTGACTCTTGTTCTTGGAAGCATAGTTTTTGAAACAGAGAAGAGTGGTCTTCAAATTCATGGACTACTATACTTTTGAACATTTGAACTGGGTCATGAAGGTTTTCCTCTGAACATATCGTCTTATAAGAACTGCCAGATTGTTATCCAAAGATCTAAACAAGGGGGTATAATTTAACCCATTTCATCGAACACGTACAAATACCTTCACTTCATTGACACAAAAAACAAATCAACATCTCGACACGATACATCCACACATATCATCTAAATCCAGGAGTTAGTTATCGGATACCTGAGCAACTGCATCTAGTAGAGCTGACTTAACACCAAACAAATTTCTTTCTAGTCTAGGACTTATAGCTTTGAAAATTAAATTAATCCTGCAGCTCCTCCTGATATGTTGATTTGTGATCATAAATGTCTACGCGGAATCTTGGATGAGAACTCTTGAATTACCGTCTTTTGAATATTTGTATTGTGTAATGAAAGTTTTCTTCTGCACATACCATAGCAAGCTGCAGCATGTCAACTTCGAGGAAATAAAATATTCGACAGATATTTGCAATCATATGTTGCTGCCTGCTTTGTCCATCAACGTCAAGTAACTGCATCTTATGGACACAGCATAGTTCAAGTTCTCTGCTTCAGAGTAACTTCATTGATCTGCACACGAGTTTTGGGTCGATAGTGGTCATCTGCATCTACTTCTTCGATTTCCTGAATAGCCATAACCAACCATCAGCGTTAAGGTGAGGAGAGAAAAGAACAGAGAAGACTAAAATTCTCATCGCTAGGCTTGCCAATGGGATTTTGGCCAGTTTCCCCATGACTTATCATTTATTGATGAACCATAATGAAATAATTTTCCAAATACACTGCCAGTATGGACTTGAATTTCCACTAAATATAAAATGGTATGGGAAAGCGTTGAAATATCAAATCCCTAACTTTGTCCTTTATCCTCTTTATGCAAAAACTAATCGGAAAAGGGAAAGGATCTATACCTGCACAACATCTTCTCCCTTGATGACACGTCCAAAGACATTAATCTTGTCATTTAGATCTGGGATTGGTGCTGTCGTAATAAATAGATCAAATCCTCCACCTTCATGTTTTACCTTGGAAGTACCAAGCATAAATGCTTCGTGATTAAGACTGAACATTAAGATGGCTAATTTAGCGACGACAGTGAGGCAAGGGGATCTCAAGGCAACTGTAAAAGACAAAATAACAGCAAATAATGTGCAAGGAAGACCTTTTGTCGAGTTGGCTGTAATGTTTTCCCCTCGAAGTCCATTCTTCTGTAGCTTCAGGTCTTTCAACTTTACTACCATGGATGACAAAGTTCTTGATTACACGAGTAAATTGCACCCCTTTAAAGTGGCCCTTCCGACTGCAAAACACATTTTAGGAAGTTAATACTTTATCATGCTTGTTGCAATAGGTTCCCCAAACTTTGCAAGTGACGAGCAGAGGAATAAAGATACTCTGTTTACAGTATAACCAACATGCACCTGAGGTTCTTTTCTATAACACAAAGAACTTTATGATAGACATCCAAAACCAATTTGTTCCGCAGATGACACAATTATCCCTATTATGCATTCATCTCTGGTAATGACAAAATCATCTTTAAGTATGAAATATCCATGTGAATCATTAGCAAATAAGACCAGCATGCCAAGATTTTCATCATTCTGGTTCAAGCCATCTACATGAGGCAGGGTTTTATTTTACACATATTGATTATGAAGAAACTGAATATACATTGTGGAGTCCTTAAATATTCTGATTTTAGGATAAAAAAGAAGATGAATTCCTAAAGAGGAATCTATGACAAGCTGTCCATATCAAATATTAGATAACCCATGTATCTGCAAATTGTCCTCAATGTTCAGAATACAACAACAACAAACCCAGTGTAATCCCACAAGTGGGGTCTGGGCAAGGTAGTGTGTACGCAGACCTTACCCCTCCCTACCTTACAAAGGTAGAGAGGTTGTTTTCGGTAGACCCTCAGCTCAAGGAACAGTGAAACTAAAGCAACAAACAATAGCAACAACAAGATAGCATGGTAATGAAAGCGAATCACACAGCATGTACGAATACAAGCAAGAATAAGAAAAAGCAACAATAAAACTAGTAATACACGCAAGACTAGGAGAGACGCATGACTATCTGTCAACCTTCCACCCTAATACTCTTCCTCCACACCTTTCTATCAACGGCCATGTCCTCGGTAAGCTGAAGCAATGACATGTCCTACCTAATCACCTCACCCCAGTACTTCTTAAGCCTACCCCTGCCCTTCCTCAGACCTGCCATGGTCAACCTCTCACACCTCCTATCCGGAGCAGCTATGTCTCGCCTCTTCACATGCCCGAACCATCTCAGTTCGATTCTCGCAACTTGTCCTCCACAGGGGACACTCCCACCATGTCCCTAATCACTTCATTCTTAATCTTGCATTTCCTGATATGCCCACACATCTATCTCAACATTCTCATTTCAGCTACATTCATTTTCTGGACATAAGACTTCTTCACGGGCCAACACTCAGCCCCATACAACATAGTCGGTCTAACCACCACTCTGTAGAACTTGCCTTTAAGTCTAGGTGGCACATTTTTATCACACAAAACACCAGATACAAGCCTCAATTTCATCCACCCCGCTCCAATACAGTGAGTAACATCCTTGTCAATCTCTCGGTTGCCTTGTATTACAGACCCGAGGTATTTGAAACTATCTCTCTTAAGAATGGCTTGTGTATCAATCTTCACTTCCACTTCTGCTTCGTGCGTCCCATCACTAAACTTACACTCCAAGTATTCTGTTTTCGACCTACTCAACTTGAAATCTTTAGACTCCAGCGTCTGTCTCCACACCTCCAACCTAGCTTTCACCCCACATCGTGTCTCATCGATCAATACTATGTCATCTGCAAATAGCATACACCATGGCACTTCCCCTTGTATGCGTCGTGTCAGCACATCCATCGCCAGGGCAAACAAAAACGGGCTAAGGGTTGATCCCTGATGCAACCCCATCTTCACTAGGAAGTGATCTGAGTCTCCTCCCACAGTCCTCACCTTAGTTTTAAAACCATCGTACATGTCCTTAATCGCCCTAATGTACGCTACCGGAACACCGCTAACTTCCAAACATCTCCATAGAACCTCCCTCGAGACTTTATCGTAGGCTTTCTCTAGGTCAATGAACACCATATGCAAGTCATTTTTCCTCCCCTTATACTGCTCCACCAATCTCCTTGAATGGCTTCCGTAGTCAATCGTCCTGGCATAAATCCGAACTGGTTCTCAGAAAAAGACACGTATCTCCTCACCCCCTCTCCACCACCATCTCCCAAGCTTTCATAGTGTGACTCAACAGCTTGATACCCCTATAGTTGTTACAATTCTGGATATCACATTTGTTTTTATACAACAGAATCATCAAACTCCACCGCCAATCATCGAGCATCTTCTTCGTCCTGAAATCGACATTGAACAAACCAGTAAGCCACTCCAAGCCTACTCGACCCGCGTCCTTCCAAAATTCCACCGGGATCTCGTCAGGCCCAGTTGCCTTACCCCTGTTCATCCTCCGCAATGCCCCCTCAACCTCTTCAATCTTAATACGCCTACAAAACCCAAAATCTCGCAGCCTCTCCGAGTTCTCCAACTCGCCAAGCACGATGTTCCTGTCCCCTTCCTCGTTCAAGAGTTTATGGAAGTATGTTTGTCATCTACGCCTAATACATGACTCTTCCACCAATACATTGTCATCATCGTCTTTGATGCACCTCACTTGGTCCAGATCCCTAGCCTTTCTCTCTCTAACGTTGGCTAACTTGTACAGCTTCCTGTCGCCTCCTTTGCCCCCAAGTTCCTCATACATGCGACTAAAAGATGCAATCTTAGCGGCCGTGACCGCTAATTTCGCCTTGCCTTTTTATAACACTCTCTATTCACCCTCTTCTCCTCTTTGTCTATGCTCTCCACTAGCTTCAGATATGCCGCTTTCTTCGCCTCCACTTTACCGTGGACCTCCCCATTCCACCACCAATCCCTTTTGCGGCCTCCCGAGTAACCCTTTGTGACCCCTAACACCTCTCTGGCAGCCTCCCTAATGCAGTTCGTTGTCGAGGTCCATGGTAAATTACATATCAGTCCAAACGGAATGGAAAGCAGAAAACTTTGGGGTTCCAGAGATAAGCACATAGACTGCGTATGGGTGAAGTGGTGGAGATTCATGAAAATAACATTAATGACATTTCCTCAGCTTGAAATTATGATTCGCCACAACCACAAATCGTCAAATTTCCAACCCCTCGACCCCTCCTTGAAGGAGAAAAGAAAAAGATTACGATTGTGAGAACAGAAATCCATCATTCCTATGCTCTTATAATCGTCATGGGAAGGAATGAAGAAGACTAGAGATCCAACCAAACATTGGTGATGAATCCCTCTCCGTCGTTTCTCTTTTCCCCTCTCAAAATCAGGGAGAAAAGAGAAATAACAGAAAATGTGGATTTAACATGTCAAAAAGCTTTTTATCCCAACTCTCTATTTTCCAAAATTGAAACTTAGGTAAGTGTTTCTTAAAATTATGTCAAAGAAAACATCTTCTTGCCCCTTATTATTTCCATTGCAGGTTGCTTTCAACGTTTTCTAGGATCACATATAAGCACCATCCCAAAATTTCTCCTTCTAGAAGTATGTGTACAAGTTACCAGCTGCTGCATGTGAGGTAGGGAAGAGATGAATGCTTCGACTTATCTACTTATTAGAGAAGGTTGCTTGTTAGGTCTATGAGAACTAGGAGTAATTTAATTGGCATCTATGTAAAAGAACAAGCCAAAAACAAAAAAGGAGAGAAAGAATGAGAAGTTATACCACTTACGCACCTGAAGTCAATGAATTCATCAACAATGTCAGGAGAACCATCCTTGTAAAGTTCCACGGTTATCAGGCCTTTCGAGGTGCTTATAAGCTACCAGAGACATAACAAGTTAACAAAGTCTAGACAAGATAAGGATTACTAAAAAAATCATTGAAATATGCATTATATCCAGTAAAAAACATAGAGGAAAACTCCATATTTGAAAGAGAAGCAGCGGTATCCTATATGCTCTATTGTAAGGAAGATAGGTAAAGATAAATTTACCCTTGAAGATAGGCAAAGACATAATATTTTTTCTTTATCAAAATTTTTTCCCTTGAATGGAAATAACAAGCTAATATTGAATTATATCACCAATAGACTTGAAGAGCAAGCTAGTAGGAGGACAACAGAAGGAAAGTTGAAGAGCATGAGAAGAGGGTGGAACTGGCTGCCTGTCGCACTTACATTCTCAAAGCAGGTGTCCAGTAAATAAATGCTAGCTGACTAGCTAAGTGAGATAGAAACAGTCATGAAAACCAGCTCCGTGAGAAAGCAGGAAAGAGGATTTTCTGAACTTACAGCGTATTTAGGAATATCAGATTTATTCCGCTCAATAGCCTGCAGCAAAGAAAAGGTGAAGATGTACATCAGTGCAAAGGAATATATAGAAAGGCAAATGCAGTTTGTAGGATTTAAATACGAAGTTTGCACCCAAGGGTGTGGCCTAGCAGTAAATAAAGTGAGTCAAAATCATGGAGTGCAAGGTTCAAATACTAGCAGAGACAAAAAAGCAAAGTGATTTCTTCCCATCTGCCTAAACCTTGATGTGCAAAATTACCTTGCGTATGTACTAGTAGAAGGTAACATGTACTCGGTGGAAGAATTGAGGTGCGACCAAACAAATCCATACACCACCATTATAAGAAAATGATGTATCGTAATCGAGACCAGAAAAAAAAATGCATAAATTGGTCACGGAGCTCAAGAAAGAATATTTGCAACTCCCAACCAAAATAAAAAAAGGGCAGCCCAGTACACAAAGCATCCCGTATTCACGCAGCGTCCGAGGAAGATCCATACCCCTAGGGGTGTGATGTAGACAGACTACACTAATGCAAGCATTAGCAGCCTCTTCCACGGCTCGAACCCGCGACCTATAGGTCACACGGAAACAATTTTATCGTTGCTCCAAGGCTCCCTTTCAACCATAATAAGAGTTGTATTCATACCTTGCTGGTAGATAGATCATCCTGTGTCTGAACAATTGATCTAGCCAGAAAATAAGAAAGTCCAAGTATGAGGAAAAAACATCTATCCAAATGCATCTTGTCATAAAATATTCAACAAACGTACAAGTGAGGCAATGTTGATGAAACAAATATTCATCCCATATCATACTTTTTCAGCAATCATACATTATTTGAAGTTCTTCACACCAAATAATTACGATGTTTCCACATATTATGAAGGATGCAATGCTTGGATCAACGATAATAAGGGGCTCAAGATGAGCGCTTTCTGTTGAGATAAATTAATTAATAAATAAGAGTATCCTCTCTCTATGGATAAGACTTTAAATGAGGTTGTCACTCAATTTAACATGATAGAAGCGCAGGCAAAGGTCCTGAGTTCAAACCTCGATCGCCACCATTATCTAAACAAGTATTTCTATGTGCTTAACCCAAGACCAAAATAATCCGTTTTTTCCTCTAAAAATATGAACTGCCCTTAGATAACCGACGTCTAAATCTTTTTGAATACTCTCTTTCAGAATTACAGTCATAGAAGCACCATCATCCGAGCTAATCTCTGGCTGCTGTTACAACCTTAGTACAACATCATCCTGCCATCAGCTGCACATTTATTTCTCTATTACACTGTCATTTACCCTATGCTAAGTAGCATTAGCACTAACACTAGTTTTGTGTCAGACGTGGACAAGCAAATTAAAAAAAGGTTAGCAAGTTGCAGAAAATATGATATAAGTTATATTCTTATGCCCATAATTATTTTTCTATATAGGCATAATTTAACCCAAAAAAGGAAAGCTAGTAAACAAAAAGGCACAAATAACATACTCCATTTGAAAACTTCCCCGCTATCATAAAAACTCGAGTCATTTAATATCAAGTAATGATTAGGACAAGATCCAAAGTAGCATTTCCTTCGTTACTGTTTATGTTGACTGGACATGAAATTTAAGAAACAAAGGAAAACTTCTAATAGATATAAAGAGTAACAAATTTTCCCTTACAAGTTACAACTAATAAGTATATGAGAGATGGTAAGAGTTCCACATCTCTCTCTCTCTCTCTCTCCCCTAACAAAAATCAACTTCTATATCAATATGGGCCCCCACAAATCATGTTAGTAAAGGTAAAGTAGTATGTTAAGATTAAATAATTTCCAAGTACATAAAAATGTCAATCTTTTCACGGACAAAGTAAAAAAGAAAATTGTGTCACATAAAGTTAGACTTGAGGAGTCAATATACTTTTGAAAAAGAAAAGACGCAATACTAGAAGTCTCTTAGTATCAAATAATGTGAAAGAGTCGCAAAGACTCTATATTATAAACATCATTATTGTCCTTCATTTCTGGCACTCCATCAATATGGTTCCCCACAAAAGCAAACAAGTATCTTAAATGGATATATCAGAACTCAAGAAGCTCATGAAACGGATATGATTAGGCTACTTTTGGACACATATAGAAGTGGTATACAACAAGTTCGGGTATTAATTTTCTGTACAATGCAAATATGGAACCAGAAATTAGGGCATTCCACACCTTAGCCTTTACATTCAACTACTAGCTACGGCCATGTCATATGCAAACACTTTGTCACCTCACTTTTCTTCCAAATCATCAATCAAAATAGTATGAATCGGGACCATTACCAACAATGCCAAGTTAAGAATCTTGACAACTGCCAAAGAGCAGTGGCGGATCCAAAGTCAAAATATAAATAATTAGATACATCGAAAAGTCAAGGGGAGAGCAAAATAGTGTAATTTTCCGGCGAAGGGGTGTCGCTTGACACCCTTGCTTCAATGTGGCTCCGCCACTGCCAAAGAGAGCTTTACTCTCTGAAGCAAAGAGCATTGCATGAGTTCAAAACTATTAGAAAAATAGCCACTTTCTGTGTTAATCCCAGAATGTACTTTTCGTCTCTATACTTATGCTATACGTCCAAATTTTATCTAAGTAACTATACTTTTCTACGTCTGAACAGAAAACTTAGATCCTACAAGCAGCTAGGAACAATTATCCAAGAAAAGATTTTGACTAACCTTCGAAACCAGTATCTATACGTAGAATATAGGGAAAACACCATCACAGCAACAATTAGGATGTATACTATAATTGTAGTAACACTGACGCCACTCGGCCCCTTCTTCTTTTTGCTTTGCAATAGAAGAGCTTGAGGTTTTATCCTCGCCATTAAACTCTCAAGTATTAATCTCTGAAATTATCATAACAATTAATCATAATTCAAGTCAAAAGTATCATCCCACCTTTTAAAGTAAAAAACAAAAGAACAACCAGAATTCGGATTCGGCAACAAAATCGTACTTTAGATATGAATTAGACGGTATAATTAGGCCCAAATAGAAATGAACATTACTTCATACACCTTTTTAAAATCGATCTGATGCTTCAGCTCAAGACTTGAAATTACAAAATTTTCAGACAGTAAGATAAATCTCTTCATAGTTAGAACAATTAAAATAATATACCTGAATCGTCTGCACTAGATTGAATTGCCTGCGCTGAATTGATTGCTTTTCTTTGTTTCGGTATTCTGCGTGGGATTAGGTGAAAGACGGAAGTTGGTATATTTTAAAAGCCATTCTTTTATAAAGTATGCATTTCAATCCCCCAAAGTTTAATAAATTACAAGTTAGTACTATTTGAAGTCCATCGAGTTCTACGTTGGGACATTTACGGTGCGGTCAGTAGGGCTGTTCATAAAAATCCGAAAAATTGAACCAAACCGAAAATCAAATTAAATCGACCAAAAAAATCGATATTTTTTAGGTTTGGTTTGGTTTTGGTTTTAAATTTTAAAAACCGATCAAATTTGGTTTGGTTTTGGTTTTAATAAGAAAAAAACCGAACCAAACCAACTATAAAAGTAGCTATTTAAATTTATTATTATACCTATATATATGTATATTTTTATATAAAATTTCTAAAATTTTATGGTACATATTAGTCATTTGTATTTTTAGTCTAGTTCTTTGCTATTATAATAATCTAATTTTGTGCCTTCTAGTTTGATTGGTAGTTTTCTTTTATTAAGTACAAGAANTTTATATAAAGTTTCTAAAATTTTATGGTACATATTAGTCATTTGTATTTTTAGTCTAGTTCTTTGCTATTATAATAATCTAATTTTTTGCCTTCTAGTTTGATTGGTAGTTTTCTTTTATTAAGTACAAGAATTTATTTCATGTTAAAAATAATCGATTTTTAATTGAGTACTTAAGTTATTCATCACTATTTGAGTCAATTATCATCAATATATCTTGGTCAATGATAGATTTCTCAAAGAGCAATTGGTTTGATAGCGTTACGTTGAAAATGTACTCGCCGGAATATGCGTTTGGTAGTGTATGTCTCATATTTAAGAAAAAAACCGACAAAAAACCGAAAAAACCGAAAAACCGACAAAAACCGAATCGATAAAAAACCGACTTAATTGGTTTGGTTTGGTTTGGTTTGGTTCCAATATTTGAAAAACTGACTTACTTGGTTTGGTTTCTTTTTAGGGAAAAACCGACCCAAACCGAACCATGAACGCCCCTAGTGGTCAGGGACAAAAAAGAAATTAGACTATAAATGTTCATTTTGAAAAATATTACGCTTCATTCTATTTGGGAAAAATTATTATTAGTAGAAAATACATAGCAGGTACATACTTTGTAGAGCTTCAGATATATAATTCATAGTTTTGTATACCTTTTACTGGTATACAACAATTTTCGGATTTTGTATACTCAAAAAGTATAAAGGTACATAACTTTTACAATGATTTTTTCAGGAGCGACATTTGTAAATGAATATTGTAGAAATGATACCAGGTAGCCGTTTTAAAGGGCAATTATTTAGGAATTAATCAATGTGTCCATAATGTAAGTTTTCAATTCAATTTTTTAGGACACAAATATCCTGAATTTAGTGTAAATTTTCATAATAAAATAGGTACCGACTAATATCTAAATAGCAGTCCTATTAAAGGCTGCATTTCCCCAAGAATACCGACAGATAATATTTTTAGGCCACATGAATATTCGTGATTATACACTTTAAGCAGGGATATTTATCTAGTTATACTATAATAGAAACTTATTTACCAGTTTTCTTTAAGTTCCTTAAAAAGTACATTTTATATCTATATTTATTACTTATATACAAAACCTTATAAAGAGGGTATCCGTTAAAATTAGGATGTAACTAATATATCCCCTCCCATACCAAGTTGCCCCCTCCCCCCTCCCCTTCTTACTCTCAAATATATCAATTATATACAAAGCCCCCTAAAAACACGTTTTTATCCCATTTTCAAAAAAGTTTCAAAATATTCCTTTTTCTTTCATACAAATCAACCCAAATCTTTCCATCTTCACACAAATTCATCAATATTATCTCTAAAATTACAGCAGCAAAGAGTTCTCCATTGACAACCATTAAAAAGTTTCGAAGCTTTGAATTCAATATTCGAGTTTTACGAATTTGTGATTTATTTGGATTGAATGTTCTTGTAAATGATTGAGAGTACATCTTGGGGTTTATATTTCAATTTTGAGGGAGATTGGTCAAATTTAAAGTTGATTTTGGGTAAAATTTCAGATTGAAACTCGATGAATAAGAAGTTTTAGAATTATATCACGATTATATGACAATTGTATTATAATTGTATCAATATTCGAGTTTTACAAATTTGTGGTTTGTTTGGATTAGGTGTTCTTCCAAACAATTGAGAATATACTTTGGAGTTTATATCTCAATTTTGAGGGAGATTGGTTAAGTTCAGAGTTGGTTTTAGGTAAAATTTCAGATTAAAACTCGATAAAGAAGGAGTTTCGGAATTGTCACGCCCCGAACCTGGGGGGCTAGACCGGCACTGGTGCCTCACCTAACCTTGCGTACCAACTTGCGACTAAGGAACTCTGAACATATAACGTCATACTTTGTCCAAGGGGGCACATTGCAAGACAATTTGCGAAGCAAAATATAAAACTGAACGGAAACTAACGCTGACTAAACAACAAGGCCTACAAGCCCAACATACTGCACTAACTGACAGGATATGTCTACAAGCCTCTACTGATGGATGTATTGTGATCGGAACAGGGCCCCGACCTACCTATAACATATATACATATATACATAAGATGTACACAAAACTCTAGACCCGATAACTCCGAAGAACATGGAGCTTACCGATCAGGATGAACTCGGGCAATACCTACTGAGGAGGTCTACTCGTCTGTCTGTATGAACCTGCACGCATGAAATACAACGCACCCAAAAAGGGACGTCAGTACAAAATAATGTACCGAGTATGTAAGGCAATAAAATAACTGAAAGCTGAAGCTGAACTGATAATATGATAACTGAAAATAACTGGGAGTCAAAGATGATCTGGAGATATACTTACCTGCTGATACTGACTCAACTCTCTCGATATAGTAAGTAAAATAAATGCCCGGCCCTATAAGGCTCGGAACGTGTAACTGCTCCGCCGTAGTAGGCTCGCTCNTCTGCTCTCTTGACTGAATAAAGATAAAACTAAACTGAATATGAAGTCCCGATAAGGGAGAATATTGTAACTTATGAGACTAGGATAGTGGATATAAATTCGGGAGTATGAACTTCTCTTTATGCCTTGTTATCAAACATATGTAATTACGAGATCATGCCAAAATGAAGGAAGGGCTTAGCCTTAATATACCTTATCACAATCTTTCCAATCACCAAGTTGAACTCACATTTTCGCACCTTAATCTACAATAACGATAATAATACTATCATTAAGTCACGAAAGGTACAACTATCGCACAACGAATGACAAACTTATTTTGTATTAAAACGGTAGCATCTCCCCTATAATCCCTACTTCCTCCAAATTCAAGATAAAACCAACAACACAAGAACAAAACAATAACAACATATATACATTATTTTCTAGCCTTATATATACCATCAAATACTACAAAATAGTCCAACACACTCCAATCTCTTCATACACAAAACGAGCATCGTAGTAGTGTCAAACGGCCCGAAAATGTTACGACGAGCGACCAGCCCACCACCCTATATTTATATGTTGTTTCTACACCCTCTTCCTCCTCCAAAACCCCACAAAACAGTAGTAAAACACTCAGACCAACAGCAACACAAAACAGTCTACAAAACAGTCCGCTACAAGTGAATAACTCGAACTCACAGCTTCCGATCACCGTCCCGTGAGTTCTTACAAGTATAGAACGACTTACCATGAATTTACAGCAGAAAAAATGGATGAAATAGATAAGTAAACTCACCTTATTTGTTGGATAACTCAGCTCCTATCTTGGTTCTTCAAACTCTAGGTTTTACCTCCAATTAGAACTTGAAAGGGAGAGAAAATCAATTAGGGTTTGTGGAAATGTTTTGGGAGGTTTTTTGCAGAGCTTATGTCTGATTATTATGACCTATTTTTAGTCTAATATATGAAGAAAATAGGCCTTTAAAAGGCCTCTTTGGACGACCCGAAATGGCCCATTTTTGGGCTCTCATTTAAGCAAGTAGGTGACACACCTACTTGTCACCCAGCAACCTGCGCAGTCTCGCAAAAATGACCATATCTCTCTACTCTGATATTGTATTGAGAAACGGTTTAATGAGTTAGAAAGTAAACTCATAGATCTTCAATTTTATGGGTGCAACACCCCGTAACTCTAAGTATATTGGGATAAAATCACAGTTACATTTGACTAAATTTTTCAGTAAAACTTATGAATGTAACTTGTGATGAATTTCATCAACTTTTGTTTCACAAATCGCTTGACTTCAAAACATAACACACGACTGTTATACGACTAATATAAATTATAAAATAATCTCCTTATCATGTTAAGCACCCTAGTCTCACCCCAAAAGTACATGTTATAACATTCCCAACTTGTCGACTTTCGACGAAACATTGTTTTCTTCAATTCCTTTAGCTTCTGAACCTTCCAACCCTCTTTGTACTTGTTGTTCATGATCTTCAATATTTGTAACATCCGAGGTAACATAATTAACTTACTTTATATACTTTCAAATATTATCTCATTTTGGTCCTACATTAGTTTGCTTACGACGCACTTTTGCATACGAAAATATAGGGTGTAACATCATTCCTCCATTGGGAACATTCGTCCTCGAATGTTTACTCTTAGAGACTTTGGAAAAAAAATTCAGAGTCTCCTTCGTACACTAGACTAAAACCAACCTGCACACAGCCAGAAAACATACTATGCATGCCACACATGGCCAATGTTTATAAAATGACTCAGATGGGGCATACAAACAAAATAAGAATTTTCTAGCATAGAATATTTTAGTATAAAATAATTATGAATGTGCTGTGACAGAAAAGGCAAAACTTTATAGTATAAGATAATCATTTTAAACTAATGTGGAATTAATATTTTTTTATTTATCGAAACTCATTTGGATTATGGATCAAATCACATTAAAGGATAAATAGATCTAAAATGGGTATGACCCATATTAGCTTATGTGACATTTATGTTTGAATTTTATGATAAAATTTAATGCCATGTCATATTT